GGTGCCATCGACCTTTCAATCTCCTCATCACAAGCTTTTGCTGGAGAAGGTGGAAAGATGTGCAACAATAGATGAAGAGATTCCTCGAAACCCACCTTATTTTCGCATAGCCTTAAGCATTTGAGAACAGACTGCCAAAAGGAATATATTTTTAGAGGTTGTTTGACCTTGTTTTCGCAACATGGTCATGTTGGTAGGAAGACTTAGAGGAACGCACCTAGTCCGAAGTCCATTGTACGCATCATCATTTCCAAAGTTGAACCGGCATCGTCAGAGAGTTTCGCCATTTTTTTGCACCACATAAGTGAAGCCCATCCTTTGACCAAACGTGTGCTAAACAATTGTGGTATCTCCCCTTCTGCTCTGGGTTATTCGCGTTTCCGGTAGCATTCTGTCATGCCTTCACTATTACAACTTTTGTTGTGTGTTGTGTGTTGTTGTGTGGTGCTGAGAATGGCGATACTCACTGACGATGCCGGCGAAACGTCTGGGAATGTACCACGTCCACGGTTCAACTTTGTACAATGGACTCCGGACAAGGTGTGTTTCTCTAAGTCTTCCTACCAATATGACCTCTATACAACGAAAGGAGACTGCGACCACACAAAAGGTCACACCATCTCAGTCTTCATACATTGGAATATATTTTTTTGAGACAAGAAAATCATACCTTTGATGGTATATAATTCTACCACAAAGGCAAACTATGCAAAACTTTATCTCGGCACATGCATGAGGGAGTTAGATGGCAATTTACCTGATGTCTCTTTTGGATCCATGCCGAGGCGCATGCTCCTCTCGCCGGCGCTACCGGATGCGTGGAACCCGAGGAAACGTTGGATAAGATAGATGTTGAGAATCGCATTGACGATAGTGAGGATCTTGACACAGAGATAGGAGAACACGAGACAGGTGCCCAGGCGTTTACTCACCACGCAAATACCGCAAGCGTCATAGGCCCTCTTCGACAATTGAGCTCGTCGACCCTAAAATGCAAATGTGCCGAACTGTACGCCGACTCTGGAAGGCAGACATGCGCATGGAGGCTGTCGGTGAAACCGGAACCTCAAGGATTTTGCATCATTTAATCAAAGGTGCTATTTGTTTAATCAAAATATAATCTAATTCCTCTCTACTTGATGAATAAGGCCTGTTTGCATGCAATGCTGGCCAATTGGTTTGCAAAATATCCAAGAAAAAATGTCACTTTTGAATGTTTCAGATGCGGCCAGTTGGCAAGTAATTATGAATTGGATCAGACAGAAAATTGCCCAACCATCCATAATTGCTGCCGTTTCATCTTCACTTGGTCTTCATTCGACATTCCTCCTTCCTTCCCCACGGAGAAATGAAATTCATTTCATGGGCTGTCAGAAGCAAATGAGATATCCAATCGCTTGGACTGACTTGGTTCCGATGAGTAGGTAAGTAGTATAGAACTGCAGAGCTGGGCAAACTTCATATTTATACAATGTAAGTAAACCTTGAGTATGAGTTTAATTTATAGAGCGAGAGAGAATAGATGCTTTAATTTTACCAAAATTATATTATATTTCTATTCAATTTCACAAAAGCTATCCTTCTCCAGGACGGAAATAGCTTC